TTGGATCCCCCTTGTCCACATGTTTGTTCACCCCCTCAAAGAACACTAACAGGTTAGTGAGACAAGATCTTCCCTTACAGAAACCGTGCTGAGTCTGCCTCAATAGGTTTTGTTCATCTATGTGCCTACTAATTCTTTCCTTAATAATGGTTTCCACCAATTTACCCGGTATCGACGTCAGACTGACTGGCCTGTAATTTCCCGGATCTCCTCTGGAACCCTTTTTAAAGATGGGAGTGACATTAGCTACCTTCCAATCCTCAGGAATGGAGGCAGATTTTAAGGAAAGATTACATATCTTTGTCAGGAGATCTACAAGTTCACATTTGAGTTCTTTCAGAACTCTCGGATGTATGCCATCTGGGCCTGGTGATTTACCATCTTGACATTCTCGTGTCTGTCTCCCTTAAACTGGTGTACTGTGAATTTTGTATGAACAGAGACTAAAGCATACCCTTACCTAGCTCTCACAGGTCTCAGAATCACGAGCACAGGTGAGCAGGAGTGGGTTTGACTGGTAAGTATTACTGAATCAAGCAACTGTTGGGAAACTGGACTATATTGGACAGGACAGACCACTGGTATGGCACAATTCCGTTTGGGGATTGCACATTTACGTGGAATGTGAGGTGTCATTATTTACAGAAGAACGTTGGGTAACTTCTGGACTTTGGGTGTATCAATACATCACTGGATATTTGGGTCATTCCGGCACATCCCCGACATGACTGCTCTATCCAAACATAAAAACACATTGCTAACATCTAACACTGCGTGGATGCAGCCGTAGGTAAGCCAAAAGATCACACAGCTGCTAAAAGGAGGAGGAGGGATGGGCTGAAGAGGAAGACATTTGATCAATGGCACAGGCAACGGGAAAGAGAGCAGGGTAACTGCTGTGTGGAGATCTGGAGGGGGGGGGTGGAACTCTTCCTGGGGATATTTCCCAGGGAAGGCAGGTATTTGCCAGCATGCAGATGGGCATAACTCTTGTCTTTGCGCCAGGGGTCATTTCGTAGAAAAAGAGGTGCAGGAGCGCATTAGCATAACGTATTAGCATATGCCCCACCCCCTGACATCACCAGAAGTGTGTCAGAAGGCCACACCCACCGCTCAGGCTCCACTGGACTGTTTTGAATTGCTAGCTATGGGGGGAAGGGGAATGCGCAGATCTACCCTCAGAGGAGGGAGAACTTGTACCTGAATAAAACTTGGTCTTAAAGGTGCCACTGGACTGTTCTGGATTGCTAGCTATGGGGGGGAGGGGAACGTGCAGATCTGCCCTCACAGAGGAGGGAGAGCTTGTACCTGAAAGTGGGCGGGGCGCCTCTGCAACTTACCTGGCTGCTTTTTGCTCCTCGTGGCCCGACTAAGGGCTGCTGGGAGCAGGGGGCAGGGTGTGTTGCATGTGCCCGCTCCCTGGGCTCCTTACTGCCGGATCTCCGCTCCTGTGTGCTCCCACAGGAAATGACCCCTGCTTTGCGCCCTGATCTTCCTCCAGGGTGCTCAGGAGAGCATACACAGACCATGGCAGGGGCTGGCAGAATGAGTTGAGGGAAGCCAACTGGCCCGGGCCCCGAATGAGTTCCACAGCTCAGCAGGGGCTTGAGGCCGGTGCTCCCCGAGCTCACACCAAGACTACTGCCCCAGCTCCACTCTGGCTCCGTTACAAAAAATGGGAGATCTGTGGCATTTCTTTATATATTTATACTCTGCTTTTCTCTCCCTCCCCCCTCCGTGGGGACCCAAAGCAGAAGACATTCTTTTCCCCACCTCCATTTCCGCCTCAGGACCACCACCCGTTAAGGTATGTTAGGCCAAGGGAGAATGACAGGCCCAGGATCATCCAGCCAGTTTCCATGGCAGAGCACCAACCTGGATGGCCCAGGCTAGCCCGATCTCGTCAGATCTCGGAAGCTAAGTAGGGTCGGGCCCTGGCTAATATTTGGATGGGCCACTTCCAAGGAATACCAGGGTCATGATCCAGAGGCAGGTAATGGCAAACCACCTCTGAAACATCATTTGCCTCAAAAAGAAGTCTAGCTCGCCACCTAGTGGTGCATAACGCTAAAAGAGCTAAAACTTGCGGTTGCCAGGCGATCTTAGGATCACCTGGCTACACTGCACCCAATGCCATACAATCATTAATTAATTATTAATTCCATGGCAGGGGGGGCTCCAAACCTGTATCTACCAGATCTGAGTCCAACACTGTAACTGCTACACCACTTAGCTGGGAGCTGAGATGTGTCTGCATGAGGGGGAGCCACACAACCACCAAGGACCGCACCAAATACCTTCCTACCAATCAACCTAAGAAGCACCATTAAGGAAATCTTAAGTGGTGCGCGGAGAGGCATGCATATGTGTGTGTGTATTTAGCTCCATGGATGGGAAAGAAGAGGCAATTGGCTGAGACTGCAAAATGTTCCTCCACACATCAAATTGTGGAATGTTGCTCCACCCATCAAAAAGGAAAGGCTGCTCAGAGAGACAGGTTAAGATGCCTTTCCTTCACATAAGTAAAGGTTCCCTTGCTTGAAAGCCAGTCGAATCCAACTCTAGGGTTGCGGTGCTCATTTCCGTTTCAAAGCCAAAGACATTTCCATGGTCATGTGGTCAGCATGACTAAACACCAAGGCGCACGGAGTGCTCTTACCTTCCCACCAAAGTGGTACCTATTTATCTACTTGCAATTTCTTGCTTTCGAACTGCTAGGTTGGCAGGAGCTGGAACTAGAGAGGGGAGCTCACTCCATCATGCGGCACACTCGGGTCTCGAACTGCTGAACTACCAACCTTCCACAGCCTGCAGTTCAGCGTCTTAACCACTTGAGCCACCGCAGCTTCACATATCAGCCCACAAAAGAAGGGGGTAGATGGCAAAGAACAGCCAGCAGGTGAAGCCTGTAGTCAACATGCCCTGTTTGTAAACCTCCATGTAGTGGCTATATGATTGTTGGAAACAGTATTACGAGCTATACAGCGCCCTGGTCTCAATCCAGCAAAGTGACTTTTGTGCTCTTATGCAGATAGGACAAGACGAAGTGGTGGCTATCTTGCTGGATTACATACAAGACTATTCACTACGATGTTGCAAACAAGAGGCTGGTTTAGGACGCCTAGAAGCCATCCAGGCTGCACAACCGAGGGAGTCTGAAGGGAGGTTATAGCCTGGGGTAGGAACACAATTGCTGCTTTACAGAGAGTTGTGCTGGGACCACGGTAGCAACATGTGTGCAAACGACACAGGCTACCTTCTGCACCATGCTGTATATCTTGGCAATACAGCAACCATTTGCGACTGGATTGTCTTGAACACACAGGAGAATCCTGTCGCAGTTACTCTAGTGCAGCGCTTCCCAGCCTTTTTGGTACGGTGACCCACAAGTTTAAATTTACTTGGTATGGCGATGCATCCCAGGCTGGCCCAAGGTGTTTTGGGGCCCCCAGGGCAATTGTGGCCTTGATATCCATCTAGTTCAGCAACTCGTTTTCTACAACGGCTAACCAAACGTTTTTGAGAAGCCAACAAGCATCACACATTCTGCCCCCTGCCCCCTGAATCCTAATGGGCATTCTGACATAGTCTTCACCTATGAGGCTCTGCTCCAGTCTTTGACCACTCTCTCCTTCTCCGTCACTCCTTCTAATTTCCCGGAAGATTATAAGAAGCTCACTATAGTAACCCTCGGGACTAGTGTTCCCTCTAAGTTGAGTTAGTGTGAGCTAGCTCACAGTTTTTTAGCCTCTGGCTCACACATTTTTGTCTTAGCTCAGGAAGGATGGCTCCAGAGCAAACTAATTCATGCAGTAGCCAAATTGCTGGCTCACAACTTTAATGCCAGCAGCTCACAGAGTAGAATTTTTGCTCACAGGACTCCATAACTTAGAGGGAACATTGCTCAGGACATGTTTTATTTGATCAATGTGTATATGCAGTGTGTGTGTGGGGGGGGGGGAGAGCAACAGATGCATGACCTGGAAGATACTGTTTCCAGGGTCACATCTTGCTTCCCCAAATACAAAAGAGCAATGGAAAGGGCAGAGATGGCCATTAGGGAGTGCTGGCCCATGACCCACTTGCCGATGCTTCATGACCTACTTTTGGGCCCCATGTCTGACCCACAGGTTGGGAAACAGCACTCTAGGGCAATGTCAGCCTGTGCAGCCAATAGAGTGGAGATTTTACAGACGGTAAAAGACTATGGTTGGGGGGGCATCCGCGGGGGTGTGTGAACCAGCTTCATTAGACCTACGCCAGATAATGAGAGAGATCGCTCCCCCCCCCCCCTAGGCCCAAATCTAATTAAGTTGGTCCTGGTTCACCCAAACACATACCCCAACATAACCAAACGTTCATGTCTACTCAGATGCATGTCCCAGAGTATGCAGTGGAACTTACTACTGGGTATTTTAAAAACCTGTATGTTGGTCCATAGCGCACGCACACAAAATCCTAAATTCAAAGCCTAGCAGTGTATTTTTCCCACCAAAAGGCCACCGGGCTGTGTTTCCTTTAAGATCTTAAAAGGCAATTGCAGGGCCATTCTTTTCCGGACCTTCTAAGCTTACAGCCCGCACTCTCAGACTTCCTTCCCAGCAGACATGCAGAGGGCAAATCAGTGCACCTGGTTAGCCAGCGGGGTGCAGCGCCTGGACTAAGACCTCGGAAGACCAGGTTCGAATCCCCACTCAACCAGGGACAGTTGGCTTGGGTGACCTTGAGCAGGTCAGACTGTCGCACCTCAACCTACCTCACGGGGCTGTTGTTGGGGGAAGGAGGAAACCACACCGGAGAGGGGGTGACTGTACTAAACAAGCGAACCAAAAACGGACCTTTTCAGGTTTTCCCTGCTACCCTACAACCTCCCCCCCCCCCCCCCCCCCCCCACCAACAGGGATTTTCCAGCTTGGAGTTGGAAACCCTACAAAATGAATGGTGAGAACACTTCCCAAGTAACACCCCCCACCCACCCCCAAATCCTCCCTCCTACCCACCGAAGTCGAGGAACTGCTTCATGGAGAGCGGCGACGGCGAGAACTTGCTGAAGTGCTCAATGTACTTGGGCGCCCCGGCCAGCGCCGACTGGCCCTTCCAGAGGCACCGCAAGAGACGCATCGCGGTGCCGTCCCCGACCGACCAGCCGGCCGCACCGCTCTGCTCCCCTGACCCTCCGCTCCTACCGGGACCCCCGCCGGTGGTCGAGGCCGGACAGGACTGACGGCGGCGCTGGCAACACCGGGACCCCCCTTCTCTCAAAGGTACCGCCCCCTTGCCAGCTTCTGGGCCAATCCTCGGCAGGGCACGCCCACTCTGATGCCAGCGACCCAATCGCTGCTTTAAAAACAAGGCATCGGTGACCAATGGGAACGGACTTGCACCACGTGGCAAGGGGCGGGATGGAGGAAGAAAGTAAGTGCCAATCGCGTCTCGGGACGCCTACTTTAACTCCCGCGGTGCCTGGGAGTTTGTTGTGAGCGGCCACTGGAATGCTGTTGCTTGTTTAGCTGCAGGTAGTTCTGGAATTATTATTATTATTATTATTATTATTATTATTATTATTATTATTATTATTATTATTATTCACAGACATTTGACTGGTAGATGGTGTTCTGCAGTTCGAGATCAAGTCAAGTTTTGGGGAGCTGCAGAGGTATTTTCGCAGATCTCTTGCTGTTCCAAGCCACACTGTCTTCTGGAGCTGAGCTGGTGTTCTTTATTCATTGCCCAAAACGTCCAGGTGTTTCCTGAGGCTTCTAGGCACTGCTCCAAGGGCTGCAATGACAACTGGTACAATGGTCACCTTCTTCTCCCAGAGGTGCGCTGACTCTATTCGTAGGTATTGGTATTTTATGGGCAGGCGGCCTTGATTGCTGCTTACATAGGAACAGAGAGCTGGAAGGGATCCCCAAGGATCATCTAGTTCAACCCCTTGCACAATGCACGAAATTCACAAACACCCCTCCACCCCAGTGACCCTGCTCTGTGTTCAGAGTGTTGGCATTGTTGTTAACACAAATGTCTAACTTGCCTTTCCCCCAAAACGGTACTCAAGGTAGTTTAAAAGTAAAAATAGCTTTATAAGGACTAATAATTTTTTATTATTATTTCACACAGCTCTTCATCTAGGGTGTCCAGGTTAGTCCAACATTTGCAGATCTTGGAAGCTAAGCAGGGTCTGGTACTTGGATGGGAGACCACCAGTCTGTAGTTGCTAGGCAGAGGTCCCTACCACATGGCAGGGAAAACAACGGTCGAACTGTGGCTAATTCGAGCCGCATCAAAGTTGACACGCCATGGCAGGATCTCACGGATCCCCCCAGCTGCGGCGCCGTCGCTCCCCGGCATGATCAGATGCTGGGGAGAAAGTGATGGTGCGAAGGGGAGCCTGGCGAACTGCGCATGCTTACACATGCGCAGTTCGTCCAGGAGCCGGGGATGCGCCGGCGCAAGGACGTGCCGGCCAAGGACGCGCCGGCGATCCCATGGCCTCACTTGCTGCGGCCCAATCAAAAGAACCACCCAGGTAGGTGGTTCTTTTTTGGTGCGCTGTAAGGGCGGGATGGGACGGATCGGAGACGGTAGCACGACGTTCCCCAGATGTTGCTGTGGGATTGCGCCCGTTTGCTCCGGCCCTGATCCGTCCTTCTCCCGGCCCAAACGGCTCGTATGAACAGGGCCAGAGTTAGGCAATAGCAAACCACTGCTTCTTGCCTTGGACACCCTGTGGTGTCGCCATAAATTGACGGTGCTTCGCACAGAGTATTTATTTTTATTTATTTATTTGTTTGGACTTGTATCCCGCCCTCCCTGCAAGCAGGCTCAGAGCGGGTTCCATCAGCATTAGTACAATATATAATACAATTAAAACAACTGTAAAACAACAAATTAAAACAGCATGTACTCATGTATTATAAAATATACATCATATTGCTATTTATCACTTAGTTATCATATAATATTTGTTGTTGTTATAAAATGTTCACGGTTTTTAGTTTTAAAAAATAATGCCAAAATGGGATACGTGCATTAATTGATTAATTCAGGCATAAATCAATTATCTCTAAAAGCAACTTAAGAATGCTTGAAACCTTGCTGGATTCATAGGCCTCTTTTCCTTTTTTCCTTCATTTTCTTAAGTTGGGAGCCCTTACTTGGATAGCCCAGGCTAACCCTATTTCATCAGATCTCAGAAACTAAGCAGGATTGGTCCTGGTTAGTATTTGGATGGGAGACCACCTAGGAAGTTCAGGGTTGCTATGCAGAGACAGGCAATGGCAAACAACCTCAGACACGTGCCTATTGTTTTGTCCCAGTTAGGGTAAAATGTTTATTCATATTTATTTATTCCTGTCAGAGGCTATTTAATAAAGTAGTAAAATAGAACCTCCATATTCAAAGGCTGTAGACTTCTAAGTACTTTAAATGGATGTTCCATTTCTATATTACGGCTAATATTAAATTATTAACGAACGCTTAACAGGGCAATCATATGCAAAGTTACTAAATTCATTAAAATCAATGGACTGAGACTGGATTAACTCAGCATTGGATTGCACTGCAGGTCTACCAAAGATGTTGTCTACAGTCTGATGACCTTTGGTTATTGGCCACCATTTGGTTTAGTAAGTTAATCATTCACTATGTCAGCACTACGGAAGCATGACAGCTAAGTCCAGCTGCCAAACAGTGAGAGACAGAGAGAAACAATCTTGGGCACAAAGCAGCTCAGAATCCAGATTAGCAACCCAGCCGTGCTGAACAATGATCTAATCACTCCAAATTATTGAAATCTGCAGAGTTCACTCGCCTGTAGGCACCAGCGATACATCAGTTACACCAGTGGGTTCTCGCTGACTTGAGTTTCCAAGCTATGTCCCTCTCACCTCAACAAGCGTTTCTAACATTGGTAGCTTGAGGGCGGATAAACTTTGATGAAAGGGAGAAAAATGCTTGCTTGTTCCATTTTTTTAAAGATGCCAAGAGATGTTATTTGTAGAGCTGGAGAGAGCAAAACCCTTCTGATATATTTTTTTTGTATGGCAAAGAAAGCAGACTTAAAAGCAAAGTTAATAGCAGGTCTCACCAGCAAAAGAAACAAAAACAAAACCATCCAATTGAAAACATAAAACCCAGAATTTGTTCTGTAACCCCAAACTGAACAAAGAAGGAGAAGAGTAGAAGAAGAAGAGAAGAGATTGGATTTATACCCTGCCCTTCACTACCCAAAGGTGTCTCAGAGTGGCTTACAAACTCCTTTCCCTTCCCCACCCCACAACAGACACCCTGAGGTGGGTGGGGCTGAGAGAACTCTGACACAAACTGCTCTTTTTCGAGGACAGCTGTGCCAGAGCTTGTGACTGACCCAAGGTCACATCAGCAGGTGCAAGTGGAGGAGTGGGGAATCAAACCCGGTTCTCCCAGATTAGAGTCCGCACACTTAATCACTACACCAAACTGGTGTTTATACCTGGTTTTTCTCTACCCTAAGGAGTCTCAAAGTGGCTTACAATAGCCTTCCTTTCCTCTCCCCACAACAGGTGCTTTGTGAGGTAGGTGGGGCTGAGAGAGTTCTGAGGGAACTGTGACTGGCCTGAGATGACCCAGTTCTCCAGATTAGAGTCTGCCACTCGTAAACACTTCACCACACAGGATCAAACAAACCGGTCCCTAACAGACTGAGAGCTGGGGGGTAGGGGTGGAATTTGGTAGTTCATATATCAGCCATGACAAAGATCAATTTGAGGTAAGTAAGCCCAGGCTAGCCCAATCTTGTCAGATCTTGGAAGAAGGCAAAAGTCACTGGAAAACAACAACACAATAATGCTAGGAAAAACGGAAAGGCAGCAAGAAAAGAGGAAGACTCAACATGAGATGAACTGATTCCATAAAAGAATAAAGGCATGACCCTCAGTTTGCAATACTGAGCAAGACTGTTAATGATAGGACGTTTGGGAGGACATTAATTCATAGAGTTGCCATAAGTCAGAAGTGATGTGATGGCACTCAACGCACATGCACACAAGTGGGGTCGGCCCTGGTCAGTATTTGTATGGGAGGCCACCATGGAATACTAGGTTTGCTACACAGAGGCAGGCTATGGCAAACCATCTCTGAACATCTCTTGAAAACACTTAAGGAGTGACCATATCAGTCTGACCATAACTCAGAGCCAGTTTGGTGTAGTGGTTAGGAGCGCAGACTCTAATCTGGGAGAACCGGGTTTCATTCCCCACTCCTCCACATGCAGCTGGTGGTGTGACCTTGGGTTAGTCACAAGTTCTTTCAGAGCTGTTCTCTCAAGGGCAGTTCTTGAGAGAGCTCTCTCAACCCCACCTACATCACAGGATGTCTGTTGTGGGGAAGGAAAGGGAAAGGGATTGTAAGCTGATCAGAGAATCCTTCGGGTAGTGAAGGGTGGGGTATAAATCCAATATCTTCTCCTGTGACTTGAGGGCAGAAAAAAAAAGGAAAAAAGGATTCAATGGAGGCCAAACTGCTGTTAGTGTTAGAACTAGGAGGACTTCCCTAGTCTTGTATGGGGTTTTGGCCATTGGCTTACCATTCTTTTGTTATGTTTATAACCCAGAATTGTTGGCTAATGTTTTAACAATGGGAACTAATGGTTAGGAGATATTGTGATGGGGGGTATTAGTGTGTTTGGAATGGGAGTGGGAGAAAGGTTAAAACTTACAGCTGAAATAAAATGTATTGATCTTTCCTTGTCCCTGGAATGCAGACCTCTGGAGAGACATACTAGAGCAGTGATGGCGAACCTTTTAGAGACTGAGTGCACAAACTGCGACCCAAAACCCACTTATTTATCGCAAAGTGCCAACATGGCAATTTAACCTGAATACTGAGGTTTTACTCTAGAAAAAACAACTCATACATTAACTTAAGATGATCCAAACAAAGTAAGGGAAGCAATCCCAAATGCTTTCATTTACATTGGCAGAGAATTCGACACTTTAATGATGGTCTGGGTCTGGCTGGGGCGATGGCACGCGTGCCCGCAGAGAGGGCTCTGAGTGCCACCTCTGGCACCCGTGCCATAGGTTCGCCACCACTGTACTAGAGGGAGGATCCTTTGGGTGAGGGGTCCAGTGCAGATGGAGAGTGAGAGGGGAGATAGTTTAAGACAGAAATGTGTTTCTCAGTGAAACCTTGGAAATAACAACCAAACTGGTTGATCCTGATATGTGCTATTCTGAACCTGGATCCAAG